ATGCTGCCCCTTCAGTCAAGGCTCGGACTCCTCGCAGCCCTACAGCTTACCTAGCGGACAGAGCACAACTGGCCCCGGCGGTTCCAGGCTGTCCCTCTTGACGAGAGCAGAAAGCCTTCTCTTTCTCCCCAGGTGACGCTGGTGGCCTTGCTGCTAGCAGGTTAGCAGCCCAGCATGCCAGCCACGGCACCACCAAAGCTCTGTGACAAGTCCAGAGAGTAGGAACAAGCTGAGACGTCTTAGAAGATGTGACTGTGGGGAGAAGGAATTGAAGACCTTTTTTAGGCTGATGACCAGACAGCTAGTTATTTCAACTGGAAGAAAAAAAAAGAACTTTAGAGAACGTTAATGCATTCTGGTAAAGTTGCGTGTAATGCATCTTTGGATTTCTGGGTTGTGCTAACTGAAAGATTGCTGGTTCAAGTTTACCCTGAGAGATTCCTTGGAAGGAAGGTCCGAAGGACTATTTCAGAAAAAAAAAGAAAAGAAAAAAGGAAAAGGCTGCCATTGCAAACCCTATGGATTCTGCCACACACGGATTTGCCATGAATTAGAATCAACTTGATGACAACTGGTTTTTGGCTACCGAATGCCATAGGTGGCAATATTAAATAAACCAAAAAATTCACTGCCACCAAGTCAATTCTGACTCATGGCGACACTATCAAACTCTGTGAATTTCGGAGACTGCAACTCTTCACATGAGTGGAAAGCCTCGTCTTTCTCTTGAGGAGCTGCTGGTAGTTTCAAACTGCAGACCCTGTGGTTAGCAGTCCAATGCCTAATTATTACACTACTGGGGCTTCATTAAATCAGTAGTATGAAAGACTTGTCTGAGGTATGAAACGTGGGGTCAGGTCACCAACATTCAGGTGATTGTTTAAGTTGTTAAAATTGAGGATTCTTTATCGTTTGGAATGCAATTTGCTGCAAATAACAAAGAAACTCTTAGCACTGGTTGGTTGAAACTCACTTTTTGAAACTATCGTGGGTAAAGAAGATTTATTGTCTTGTGTATTTGAAAGTTCATTGGCTTCAGGCATGGTTTGGTCAGGATGCTGGCTCCATTTTCCTGTGTTGGTTTTTTCCCACCTTTAGGTGCCAGCTGTGCCTTGAGTCTTGTGACTACTGGTTTCAGTGGTTTCTCTCTCCTAGAACATGCAGTTTGCTGTCCCTGAATTACGATTTTTCACAGACCACTTCTCGAATATGGATGACAGCCTTGTGTGGGGGCCATGCTGATCTTCCCTGTATCATTCCAGTTTTAGTGTATCTGCTTCTGAAGCAAACACGGCCCTGAATTCTTGGTCGAAGTTCTGAGCATTGGATTGATTGGGCAATTTTGGAAGTGGGTATTGTTACAAAGGAGAGGGGCTTATTATAATTGTATCGGTTTGAGCTGCCAACCTATCCTTATTACAATCAATTTTAGAACATTTTCTTTTTTCTCCCCATGGTTAATCACTTTTAAAGTGAGTTGTGTAATCACCATCAGTTCTAGTGCTCTCCCCCTCCTCCGCCCCCTCACCCTCCCTGTCTCCCACCCCACACCCCAACCTCCGCTATAAACCCTTGCGTCAGTTCTTATATCTGTGCATCTATGCTTTCTGTGTGTCACAAACTGGAAAACAGCCCCCACACACACAGAAAATAAAGTGGTAAAGATAAAAGAATCATAAAACAAAGAAAAATACAAGTAGTAAGAAAGAAAAGACGACCGTGAATATTTAAAAGGCCAGGGAAGAAATTTTTGTCATGGGGCTAGGAAGAAATACTTGCACATGGAACAATTTCATGCTGGGTCAAGAGGGAGATCAACCGACTAATATCAAGTTCAATCACTATTACAATGATTCCTATCTGTCTGATAGTAAAGCTGCTCCCTTTGCCCATGGCTAGGGGAGATCTGCCAGCGTCTTAATCTGAATAGATACTCTGCTGATGGGTTTGGGGCCCCACCGTCCTCCATAGCCTTCTCCACATTGGGTGTTTGCAGTTTAGGCTCTGACACTTTTTGTCATCTTTCGATTTTGTTATTGTCGTCTTTGGATCACACAAGCTGGTGTGCTTCTTCCATGTGGACTTAGTTGACTCCTCGCTTAGATGGCTGCTTGTTTGAATACCAGCCATTAAGACCCCAGACACAATCCCTGATTGGTAGCCGGGCACCATCTGCTTTTTTCAGCACACTTTGCTGTCACACCCTTATCCTCAGTGATCATGTCATGAAGGTGAGCATGGAGCAGGACCATGTTGTCAGGACGAACTGTTCTTAGACTGGGACAAGAGTTCAGTGTGTGTCCATAGTCCATCTGCTTGAGGGACAGGTTTTTGTGGGTGGTGGTTACGCTATGGAATCTTACCAGTGGCTTTAATTTTAATGCCTCTTGCAATGTAACCAAGGGCTAGAGTGAAACAAAAACTGTGGTGTCCAGTGGCCGTAACAGTTTCATACCCGAAGCCCCTCCGGTGTTGTCTGAACGTCCAGAAACACCGGAACCTTGCCCCTGGCATCGATCCCTCGTTCAGAGGTCCCTTTGGTGACGAATTTGTGGAACCGGCTGTCTTTTGCACGCAGCGAGGGAAGTTGCTGGCCTACAGTCGTTGTCATTCTGATGTTACTCCTCTTCATGAATGTGGGACTCCAGGTGAAACCTGCCTTGGATCTGGGACTCCTTTTTCATTTACCGGAAGCTTCACTTTGATTTGAAGTGTGGCAGCAGACCCAGCTGGGCATTGTTTCCTTTGAGAAACAGCACGTTCTTTCCAGGTGTTCTTTACCGCAGATCATTTTGGTTTGGACCCGGGTCCCATGCATTTTCATTTTCTCCAGCTCCCGTTTCTCCTTCCCACTCCCAGGGGAAGGCCCTGCAGTCTCAGACTTTCACCGGCACGCTGTTGCTAGTTTCTTCTGTTCTCATGACAACTTTGACTTTCAATTTGAAGCACTTGATTTAACTCCTGATGGCACGAGTCTAAGGTGTTCTAAGATTCCCCGGTGACATGATAAGGGTTAAAGAAGAGCGTTACGTGAAAGAGATTTGTCAGCCAAGCTGTTACACAGATACTCACTGGTCGCAAAGCTGTACTTTTAAAACGCCCTGTCTTGTCAAGCAGCAGCAAGGATGGTGAGATGTCGCCTTGTGTAATTTGGACATGTTACAGGAGACCAGCCCCTGGAAAAGGACACCATGCTTGGTAAAGTACAGGCCGGAGGAGGAAACGGTGCAAGGCTCAGTGAGAGGAGTTGGCACCATGGCTGCACCAGTGGGCTCAAGAGTTACCACTGTGAGGATGGCGCGGGAGCAGGCAGTGCTTCACCGCTTGGCACAGGGTTGCCGAGACTCTGAACTGACTTCACGGCATCTAATAACAGCAGCATCGTCTCAAAACAGAATGTAAGGTGCTATAAATAGCAATATGTAGAGATGAAAATGTGTCTATGTGAGGGGTGTGTGTGAGAGAATATGTGAGGGAATATGAGTGACTAACTGAATTAGTGAATTGTAGTTCCCATTCAGAATCAGTTATTCCTCTTTGAATACCCACAGGATACAGTAAAGCCAAAAGCCCTTACATTTTACATAACTTTTGGTAGCAGCATTTTGGCTCTCGTTGACTTACATACTAAGATGACCAGACGTCCCGCTTTTGGAGGGACAGTTCCGCTTTTAAACAATTTTTCCCGTGTTCCGCAGCACTTTTAAAAAGTCCCGATTTTTGGAAAGAGCGCACGACAAGCTACGGTATTCAGTTTTCGGCTGCCATGTGGCTATTTTGCCAGGATATGAGTTTTATCAATGGTGTCCCGCTTTCCCAATGTTAACATCTGGTCACCTTATTTATACACGCAGGGTCAGTTCCTTTTGACATGAGAAAAAAGACCTGCCTTCCGTCTTCTGACCCCAGTGGTTGCTCCCACGATGCTGCTTCTCTGCGGGTTGGCCATTCATTGCAGTGGCCACAGACTTCTCCCACGAACTCCCAGTGACGGGTTTGATTAGGGGAGGTAACGGGTTGCCACAGCCACTTTCCGAGCACATTGGTCCACATCAGCGCCTCTCCTCAGCCAGTGGCCAGTGGCTCTCCAGTCCTCAGCCTCTCAGCCCCGTGGTCTCCTGGCCTCTGCCTCGGTGGGCCCGGCGAGGAAGCGTTAGCCCGCTGTTGGGCCTCACAGGGTTACAGACTCCGAGTTGTTTCTCTGCTCCGCCTGATGCCCGCCTTGCCTCAGCGTCCGGCCCAGCCTGGCTCCTTTGCCCTGCCCCGTGGTTTCTGTGCCACAGCCTCTGGTGCCTCCGGTCTCACCCTTGCCACTGCAGACAAAGAGCTGGCACGTGTGCCACTGGTTGTTCATCTTCTGGCAGGTCTGGGATTTCCCCGTGTCTTTCTCAGATGCTTCTTCTACACAGAGGAGCGGCTTTGATGGCGGGATGTTTTGATTCTTTTAGCAGACCCTACCCCCAAGGAAACAAAGGCCGGTGGCCTGGTTCATCTTGGGAAACTTAAGCCCTCCTTAATTCTGTTCATTAGCATAGCAGAGAACTCTCCCTCTAACGGGGGTGGGGTGGGGGTGGGGTTATAGCCACAGGCACAGAATTCCGAATTTATAATACATCACATCAGGGGTAGGGCTTGAAGGGCCATATCAAGTGACTACATCTCAGGTGTTGAAGATGACTTTTATTTGAGTTGCTGCCAAGTTTATGATAATAATCATCACAAAAATGTTTAATAGCAAGTAACTGTGCAGACTACTTTACATGTAACTAAGCTAGTAGAAGATTGAGTTTAGCTTTGTCTGACTCCAAGGTCAGTGCTTTTATATCCGCATTCTAGCCTGATTCTGGACTTCTTGGATTCTTATGATCTCATCGGGCTGGTAGACCTTCCTCTTGGTGGTGGTGGTAGTGATGGAGGTGGTGGAGGAAGTGCTGGTGGTGGAGGCGGTGGCAGGGGTGGTGGTGGTGGAGGTGGTGGTCATTGGGTGCCGGGAGTGGGTTCCTACTCAGAGAAACTCTAGGTACCACTTACCATCGTTCAATAAAATTTGATTCTTAAAACATTTCTTTTTTGAAGGTTGAATAATGCCTCTCTGTGCTTCATTTTAAGCAGTCTGATGTACTGAATTATATATAGTAGGGAGAACAATACTTGTAAGTAATGGTGAAGATTAAATGAGCTAAAGAGAATTTAGAATGGTGCCAAGTACAATTGATATTAATGGTTATTGTTATTGTGATGGCTACTCATTTTCCCCTTTACATTAGTTCTTTAAAAATATTTAACATACATGAAAAAATCAGTAAGTGAATGGATACTTTGAGTGTTTTTTTTAAAAATCATGGGATTTAGTTTTGAATAAGTGAAAAGCAAAACAAAACATTTCCTCAACGACCGCTCAGATTCCATGCTGGTCTCCTTTGTGGGGATGGCGCTGTACACAGGCTACGTCTTCATGCCGCAGCACATCATGGCGATACTGCACTACTTTGAGATCGTGCAGTGACCGGGATCAAGATGGGACCGGGATCCAGAGATTCTTAGAGGAGCATCACCTTCTCAAAGGGACTTCATCAGCTGCCATCTGAAAGCCTGCGAGACGTCAACATGAGCAACCTTTTGAATATCAAGGCTAACATTCATGAGTAGAACGGGAAAATAATCCTGACTCGTGCATTGTGTTCTTTATTTTTAATTTTACAAGAGGCTCTTGTATAGTAATTTTTGTCAATTTTAACATTGTAGTGATTTGTACTTTGATATCAGTATTTTCTTAACCTTTGTGACTGTTTCAATATTACCCCGCAGAAGCTTTTCTTAATGTAACTGAGTACATTTAATTGCCTTCTGTTTTTAAAATCCAAAGTCATTAGTTGGCTTTATTGCTATTGCTATTGTATGGCATATACATCGGCCTGGGTATATTTCTACACTTGACCGACCAAAAGTTTTGTAAGAAACAACACAAGTTATGGGGCAGGCAGGTGGGAGGGAGGATATTTTATTGTGCACTACTTACAAAAGACTTATCTGTCAGTTTGAACTCAGGAGTACAGTTTTAGCTATCTAGACTCCACTCTATGTAACAGCTTTTGCTTTAAAACTATGAAAGCTTTTCTTAACAATGAAAAGGAAAAGGATTCTGCTAATGTTGAAGTAAAGGAACATTTCACCTTGTAACTAATTAATTCTTAGGTGGAACTTATTTCCAGAAAACTTTGATTATTATTCTTGTGCCCAAAGGTTCTCACTTGGCTAGGCAGCCTTATGATGTAATGCTTATAAACC